GCTAAATTTTTATTAATAGTTACCCGTGGAAATATGGATTCAAGTCCTGCAGCTGTTTGGTCTCGGGCTTTGAACCTGTCAGGCACTCCCTGTGGGACTCCAATGACATCTATGTAAACTTGAGAGTCAAAAGACCGATAAGGGCTTCTCTTATTTTTCAGTGTTGTGGTTTTTCTTTCTCTGGTTGATGAAATGACAGGGTGAAAGGGATAGCCAATTGGACAAGAGCATAAGTACTGCTCCAGTTACTTGGCAGTGTCCAGTAAGGGTCCACCACAATACCACCATACATCCGCTGGAGGATGACTAAGGGCAGACTGATGGGTAAGCTGTTGGAAGGGCTTAAGCTCACTGCATCCCGTTAAGCTTCCAAGGAATGCCAAATTCTCCCCCTGTTGTGAAAGACATGAGGTGAAACTGACATTGGGAGATGGAAGCTGGATGGTCCTCAGGGGCTGACCCACAGGGTGCTGGACTTCAGGATATAGCAGAGAGAGCGCTTGGCATGATTTGTTGCCCCAGGCTGTGGAATCCTGGAAAAAAAAAAAACTACCACACAGCCCATGCCTGGTCGATCGAAGTGGACCTAGTGGAAAGGGGACAATCTGGGTCTCTGGTCTGCAGTGCGCACAAGCATAACAATTGCGTTTGTTTAACATGCGGACAGAATATTGAATCCATTCCAACCAGGCATTTACATCTTGATATCCTGTTTCAGTTGTTAGGCTTTGTCTTAAATCTTTTACTTCTACAATATTTACTTTGGCATTGTTTTTAGGTAGAGTAGAAGTTTTGGATAAAGAAGAAGAAGGGGGTCAACAAAGCGTATTTTAAAGAAGCCTATGTGGTCATATCCATTGGCCTCCACTCCTAATCCATACAAGCGTTCTAAAGGGGGCGCAGGATTGGTGGAGGTAGGGGCATTAATAGAGATTGTTACTGGGTTACAGTGGTCAAGTTGACAACTAGAGGGAGTGATTCCTTTGGTAAGGCGGAGGTAAGATTTTAGGTCGGTACAGCTTTCTGGGGAGGTCCCGCCATATTCTCTGGTAGTTAGGATGACATCTGCTCACTGAGAACATATCTTCCAACTTGGGGTGCCTTGGTACCCCCGCCATGAGCAAGGCACGGGGTCAATGGCTTCTCTGAAGGGGCAGAGGTATTTTTTTTTTTTTTTTGAGATGGAGTCTTGCTCTGTTGCCCAGGCTGGAGTGCAGTGGCGTGATCTTGGCTCACTGTAAGCTCCGCCTCCCAGGTTCACATCATTCTCCTGCCTCAGCCTCCCAAGTAGCTGGGACTACAGGCTAAAAAATTAGCCACCACCATGCCCGGCTAATTTTTTGTATTTTTAGTAGAGACAGGGTTTCACCGTGTTAGCCAGGATGGTCTCGATCTCCTGACCTCGTGATCCACCCGCCTCAGCCTCCCAAAGTGATGGGATTACAGGCGTGAGCCACCGCACCCAGATGGGGCAGAGGTATTTTTCTAAAGTAGAGACATATCTTTCCCAGTATTCATCCTTTTGACAAGGCATGACAAGGCAAGCATCGAAGGTAATGATTTGGGGTGAGTGTGACCTAGTTACATTGATAACAAGGTCAGCAAGAGAATGAGGAAAGAAGAAAGGGGAATAGAATAGATAAGAGTGTTAAACTTTCCTTAACCTTAGGTTTGAGGGGGTTTTTTCCCTTGGATAATGGCCCACGACTTCAGGAATGGCGGTGCTTTCTTGACTCAGGTGCGATCGGTCCATCTTTTCTTGCCGTTTGGACTGCAGTTTCAGTGGTTAGAGGCACTAGGCCAGCTCCTCAGGCTGGTGTCGAGGTACTGGAAACTCTAGGGGTGGCGCCTGTACTGGAAAATTGTGAGTTCTGAGGGAAGAGAAAGTGGAAGTATAAACCAAGTATGTAGGAATGTTGGATTGCTTTGAGAGGTAGTTTGGATTCTTAGTAGGGTAATAGGAAGTCACAAGACATTTGATTTATGGCAACCAAGTCTCTAGAATTGTTTGGCTAAGGGTATAAATTCCTATACACATATAAACTTTGACTGTGCTATACACAGCTTGGGGTCTTTAATGGGTCCTCTAATGTAGGTGGAGATAAGACTTCCTTCATAAGAGGTTTGAATAACATTTCTCTGAGTTCCCTTTAGCGCCCACAGGAGAAACGCTCCTGCAGCGTTATCTGATTTGCTAGGTTATTTTCTGGCTTACCTGATTTGCTAGGTTATTTTCTGGCTTATTTCCTCTGAGAGTTCCTTTACTTACAGGAGAAACGCTCCTGCAAAGCAAGCGCATTCATTTTAAGGTTATTTCTGGCTTACCTGATTTGCTAGGTTACTTTCTTATTTACCTGATTTGCTAGGTTATTTTCTGGCTTACCTGATTTGCTAGGTTATTTTCTGGCTTATCTGATTTGCTAGGTTATTTTCTTGACTCTTGAAAGACAGGCTTTTTGGTGCCTGGGGACATGGACAATAGCTATTTTTTTCTTTTCTGGTAACTGAAGGTTACTTAACACTTCGGTGATTAACTCCTCATAAACAAGGCTTTAACTTTTACTATTAATTCAGTCTGAAATTTTCTAAATGTATGAGCCACCATAAAAGCATATTTAGAATTAGTATAGATGGATCTTTCTGGGTCCTGCAGGTACTTTAAAGCTTGACTAAGTGCAGACAGCTTATAAATTTGAATAGACAAATTATTAAACACTTTGATTTTCTCTCGAACTTTTATTAATCACTGAACACTTGTTGCATTCTTTTTCCCTTAATCACTTTTGAAGGGGGTTTCTCTTGTTTGGCCAGACGTGTGTATGGTAATCAGTTAAATCTAAACATGCGTGCTTTCTTTTTAGATTTGCATCTCTCATTAAGAAACTTGCTAGGTTACACGAATTATCAGTAGTTAATGTTAAACCATCCTTTTTAACAGGATAGCCTCACACTTATTAATACACATGTAATTCTTTTCTGGTAGCATATTTTAATATAAGTGACTTTAAGAGGCCGGACGCGGTGGCTCACGCCTGTAATCCCAGCACTTTGGGAGGCCGAGGCGGGCGGATCACAAGGTCAGGAGATCGAGACCATCCTGGCTAACATGGTGAAACCCCGTCTCTACTAAAAAATACAAACAAATTAGCCAGGTGTGGTGGCGGGTGCCTGTACTCCCAGCTACTTGGGAGGCTGAGGCAGGAGAATGGCGTGAACCTGGGAGGCAGAGCATGCAGTGAGCCGAGATCACACCACTGCACTCCAGCCTGGGCGACTTAGCTAGACTCCATCTCAAAAAAAAAAAAAAAAAGGACGGAGTTTAAAAATAAAAACAAATCTTTTGTGGTTATTTTTACTTTTAACACTGACCTGACCACAATAAATGCTAGTGGATATATCAGCTGAAAGATTATTTACTACTTGCTTAGGAGACTTAGCTGCAGGGATACCTAGCTGCTTGGAGCTGCGCCTTAGGCCCCATATTACTTGACCTTGGCAAAAGTAAGGCAGATGTCCCATAATGTAATCTGCTCAGGGCATAGGCTGGGGCCTGGCCCATGTGTCTTGCAGAGCCGCTGTCAATATGGTGCTGGGACCTTGGACCAGCCAGGGGGCAGGAGCATGGGCTTTGCCTGCCACTGGGGCATACTATGGGTGGGACGATGCTGACAAGTTGCAGTGGATCCTTGATGTTACTAGCTCAGCAAAAGCTACCTGGCGAATTAGGAGCTTGGAGTTCTTTTTGGGAGGGGGACTTAGGCTGGGCCTGAGGGGAAGGATTGGGTGTATTAGGAGGGGGACTAGGGGTATTAGGTGGAGGATGGTCTAGGGGATACCATGTGCTGTTCTCTTTGCCAGGATCCCCCCTTCTCTCACTGGTTCTACAGTAGGGGCAGGTGCATAACGGAAAAGGGAGGACAGGTCTTCACTTCCAACAAAGAGCATAGTCCAGTTCTTCTTGAGAAACTGGGCTTTTATTACTTACATGTTTAATTAAAAGTTGATATAGTATACCCTTAGTCAATCCAAACTTTGGTCAGAAGATTGAGGGACTGAGGATAGGTCTTTGAGACCAAATAGAACAGCAATTGTTTTATCATGTTCCTTTGTCTTATGTTTAGTTCTCTTGTTATCTTTCCAACCTTTTAGCTTGAGACCTAAGGGGCTATCAGGTGGTATATCTTTGAGACCTAGGGGACTATCAGGCAGTGTATCTTTGTTGCTAATTTTATCTTTTTTGCTTGTATTATTTACCATACTGGGTCCTGGTTAAGCTCAATCTCTCATATTAGGAATCTCTTGCCTAGCGGGGCTTGCTGTGGCTCAATCCCTCATATTAGGGATCTCTTGCCTATTTGGGGTTTCCTTGTGGCTCAACCCCTCATATTAGGGGTCTCTTGCCTGTCCTTCACTGAAAGCTTTGCTAAGGCTCAATTCACCTATCCTTTAGCTCCACCTGCTGGAGGTTCCTTGCACCCTTCTTTCACTGTCCACTCTGGCCGCTTCCCTTGAGGGAATGTTCCAGGTCACTCTTAGCATTGATGGCGGGTCAGTATAAACCCCAGACAGGACCCCCAAAGGGCCACCCTAAGCCATATGAGATGACCATGGAACCGCAGATTGGACTCCGCACAGCAGTAGTGCTTGTTACCATTCCTGCACTTTCAACCTCCAGAATGCCCTAACCCCCACAAAACCACTAGAGAAGTATTTTGTCACCCCTGCGATGTTTTCTACCTTGGTCTGTGCAGTCTACCTGGTCAGCGCTGTATTGCAAGTCTTTCTTTCCCGCGTTGTTGAGAGTCCGTCCAGGTTTATTCGTCACAACAGGTGGGTCTCAATCTCCCGTCCCTAAGGCCACGGCAACAGGGCGGTGGGTTGTGTCTCCCCTGGGTAGGTTGACTGAAGACCCCTTCCCAAAGGAGAATGGGGATCCCGGACGAGCCCCTAGAATTGCTGGATATAAAATGCTCCAGGAATAAATGCTCGGTGCCATGAAGTAAAACCAGCACTTAGGCAAAAGTTTAATTCTCTCAGCAAGGTAATTTACTTCTACAGAAGGGTGCCACCTGTGTCAATTAAGATCACACGAGCACACAGAGAGACCAGGGTTTTTTTTTTTTATCCTTAACACAGTCCCTATCTCTGTGTCACTCCCCCCATGGGCTGGGGTTGGACTGCACAATCTGAGCTGACCCAATTGGCCACTTGTACATATTTTCCTAAATATAGAAGGGGAGGGGGACATGAGGTACAGAGGTGTAGTGTGTAGTTTCAGAGGAACAATGGGTACAGGTAACCAAGGGAACAGATGTGAGTTATTGACTAGAGCTGATGGGAAGGGGGTAGGCTGTTTACGGTAACTACAGGCAAGGAAGAACAAGAAAGTTGAGTTTGAGAACAAGGATAAGGAAGTTAACAGGCTAAATCCTTTGAAGAGAAATTCAGAAAGACTTATTGCATCTTACAATCTCTTCCTGTGACTGCCTGGACCTGACAGTCCTCTTGCCGGACCAGACCTGTGCGGTGTCTCTACAGTGCCTACATGGATTTTAATAGAAAATGAACACTTTTTTCTCCCCCTCATATTTAAAGTAGTTGTTTGATCATTAATTTTTCCACTTTTGTTTTTCTATGGGAGAAGTAACTTCGAGGTCTTGTGGAATGATGGTGTCCCACCCTTCCCCTGCACAGCAACCCCTACACACACACATACGCACTTTCTGTGGCTTTTAGCTCAGGCCATGGGAAATGGGCAGCATTAGGGTGGTAGGCCAGGCAGTGGGGAGATCCTACATTCCAGGTACCCCTAGCCCTTCCCCTAACCAGGCTAACCTTGGGGATTCCCTGGAGATCAACCACTTCCAGTGAGAGGGAGTGGACAAAAGCCTCTGGATCAGCCATTCCTTCTCTCTCTCCAAGTCCTTCTTCCTCTCCAGCATCAAAACCAAGCCTAAGTATTTTGAGGTTACACAAATATCTCTCCCCTTCTTTTCTGTGGCAGTCTCTTAGCAAATAAAGGCACTGGGGCCTGAGTGGACAGCTCTCCAAGGTACACTCATTGACATAGGGTGTCAGCTAGGGCCAGCCCCAGGCCAAGGGAGTAAGGTAAACTGTCAGAACCTGGGCCATATGGGCCCTGGGAGTGTGAGGAGAGACAAATGGCTAAAGGCCCTAGCACTATTCCTGGGTGTAATTTAGCCACCCGAGCATGGCTAAAACACTGGGTACTGAGATTGGATGATTTAAGAGGAGCTGTGTTTAAAAACTCTTAAACCTGGTATTGGAAGGTCAATGATGTGGCATTGCTAGATCCCTGTCATTGAAGGCCAAGGTGGTGAGGCTATGATGTTTAAGTCCTGAGTCTGAAGAACTTTTAGAGTATGGCTAAAGAATCTTGGGTTTGGGCCTGGAGGGTTAGGAAGGGGACCTGGTTAAGGAGTCCCTCAGATTGTAGAGTTGGAAACTGAACTCTGAGTAAAATCTAAAGGTGGGATAGGAGAGGACACAGCAAAGGCTAGAGATGTAGAAAAAAATAAAGCAGGAGAGTGTCATAGAAGCCAATGGAAGAACACAGTTGCAGGAGGAAGTAGTCAGATGCAAAGACCATTCCTCTAAGGGGACTGTCACTTGACAGCTCTGCCCTCAGAAGTTAGATCTCTGCCATCTTCACATCTGCAGGAATGTAAGCGGTCAGAAGACTGTCCCTGAAGCCCTTAGAACGAGAGTGGGGTGGGTGTACCGTGGATAGATTTGACTCCCAGTATCTCTTAAGGGGCCACTTCCAGCCAACATTTTACTCTCACTCCATGAAGGCGGCTTCTCCCGAGTGTGTCCTCTGACATATGACAAGGAATGATGTCCACGTACAACTCTGTCCACATTACCTTACAAACAAGGCTTCTCCCTGAGCATTTCTGCTGGTGTGGCTGATGGCTGACTTGCGAAAATCACATCCTCACTCCTTGCACCTCTAAAGCTTTTCCCCAAATGTGTCTTCTGGTGTATGTTGAGCTGTGACTTCCTCCTAAAGCCTCGCCCACACTCCGTGCAAGCATAAGGCTTCTCCCCCGAGTGTATCCTCTGATGTAAGCTGAGAGTGGACTTGTGGCTAAAGTTTCGCCCACACTCCATGCACGCGTAAGGCTTCTCTCCTGTGTGTGTTCTCCAGTGTCTGTTGAGGAGTATCTTCCGGCCAAATCCCCGCCCACATTCCCCACACACATAAGGCTTCTCCCCTGAATGTGTCTGCTCATGTGCGAGGAGAGTTGATTTATCACGAAAGCCTCGCCCACACTGGCTGCACACATAAGGTTTCTCCCCGGAGTGTGTACTCCGGTGGTAGTGGAGGGTTGACTGAGCTATAAAGCCTCGCCCACACTCTCCGCAGACATAAGGCTTTTCTCCTGTGTGTGTCCTCTGGTGTCTGATGAGCTGTGATTTCATGATAAAGCCGCGCCCACACTCCGCGCACGCATAAGGCTTCTCCCCAGAGTGTGTCCTCTGATGTACACTAAGAGCGGACTTGAGGCTAAAGTTTCGCCCACACTCAAAGCACGTGTAAGGCTTCTCTCCCGTGTGTGTCCTCCAGTGTCCACTGAGGAATATCCTCCGGCTAAATCCCCGCCCACATTCCCCACACACATAAGGCTTCTCCCCTGAGTGTGTTCTCCGATGTGATTTGAGCGTCGACTTCTGGCTAAATCCATGCCCACACTCCTCACACACATGAGGCTTCACCTCTGAATGTGTCCACTGGTGTAGGAGGAGAGTCGATTTAGCACGAAAGCCTCGCCCACACTCTCTGCAAACAAAAGGCTTCTCATCTGAATGTATCCTCTGGTGTGTGTTGAGACATGATCTCCTTACAAAGCCTCGGCCACAGTCCCTGCACACGTAAGGCTTATCCCCTGTGTGAATTCTCTGGTGCTTAATGAGTTCTGACTTTTCACGAAAGCCTCGCCCACACACTGTGCACATAAATGACTTCTCCCTTGTGTGTGTCCTCTGATGTCTGATGAGGTATGGCTTGCAGCTAAACCCTCGCCCACACTGGCTGCACACATAAGGTTTCTCCCCAGAGTGTGTACTCAGGTGGTTGCGGAGGACTGACTCAACTATAAAGCCTCGCCCACACTCTCCGCAGACATAAGGCTTTTCTCCTGTGTGTGCCCTCTGGTGTATGATGAGCTGTGACTTCCTGCTAAAGCCGCGCCCACACTCCCTGCACACCTGTGACTGCCTTTTATCTGAAGATTTTTCTGCTGTGACTGCCTTCTGTCTGAACAGGTTTGACTTCTGGTTAAAAGCTACTGCACACTCTCCAAACCGGACTGCTCCAAACCCTGGGGTTTCTGCCCTCTTGGAAATTCTGTCTACTTCCTCAGAGCTTGTATTCTGAGCTGGACTGAGCTGTATCTCTAATATTCTGTTGCCTCCCTGAGAGCTTATTGGTGGTCTCTGGAACAGGCTAGAGAAACCCACTAAAGTCCCCCTCTCATTTGTACTCCAAAACAAGGGTCCGACGCCTCCTTCCACTCGGTGATCTTCTGCTTCAGCCCCCCTGTGATTTTTATCAGAAGGACATTGTGGCTGTGGCTGATCCCCTGGGCAGGGGTTTCCTGGGTGGAGTTGATTTCCTGCATGGAAACCTGGAATAGGATGATTGTGTAGCTCATCTTGGCTGAGGAATTGCTGACTGCCAAAGGCCAGAGGGCAAGAAGGGCAGGTGTGGACTTCTGGCTTTGATTCTGCTGAAGAGAGAAAGTTTCCAGTCAGAAAAGTCACAGGAAGGGCTGACTGGGCTCCTGTTTTATGGTAAGACCTGGCCCATTAATCATTCTAAATGATTAAAGTCTTTCTCCCCAAGATGTGCTATGTAGGACCTGTATTTCCATTCAACTTCTTCAAACTTTTGATTTGGAAATCATTTCAAATAGACAGAAAAGCTGCAAGAATATGAATAATACAAAGGGCCAGGTACAGTGGATCATGCCTGTTAATCCCAGCACTTTGGGAGGCCAAGGTGGGCGGATTGCCTGAGCTCAGGACTTGAAGACTAGCCTGGGCAACACGGTGAACGCCATCACAAAAAAAGTTCCTGATGTTTCCCATGATTAGATTCAGATTATACATTGCACTCCATTTTTACCTATTACATATTTTACTTTAATCCAAAAAAACCCACAGCCAAATCTATTCTATATATTATCCCAACAGAGAATCTTCCAAGTAGGCATCTGAGACATCCTCAGCTCTGTAAATATCTACAGTTATACTAAAATTATCTTCTACAATAATCACATAATGCCACAAGCATTTGTTTCCACTGAGAGAGAACAGTCTTTGTGACCTATATGGAAATGCTCTTTGTGACTTTTCCTTTGAGAAGGATGGATTGAGGTGGGAGTCACTTAGTCTCGATGTCTGCCAATGTAGAATGCAGTACAGAATAGTAGTTGAAGAATGTGCATAGGAAGCCTTCATTTGAGTTTCCCCACTTATCAGTAGATATTTATTAGAGGAAGATTACATGCCAGGTTCTACAGAAGTAAGGATTCATCAGTGGAGAAGACAGGCACAAATGACTTAAAGGAGGCTGGCTCTTGGTCCTCCAATCCAAGATCTGCTCTTCCCTGTTTTCCACAAGTCAGCAAATACAGCAATGTTACCACTGAGCTGTACTTTCCTAAGAAATATCAAAATTAAATTGCAACTGTTTCTAACCAGCTGAAGATAACAACCATGAACCTTTTGTAATCCAGGAGGCCAGACCCTTTATCAGCCTAACTGAAGACCCTTGCCTAACTAATAAATAGGATTTTCTTTTTTTTTTGGAGATGGAGTCTCACTCTGTCGCCAGGCTCGAGTGCAGTGGCACGATCTCAGCTCACTGCAACCTCTACCTCCCGGGTTCAAGTGATTCTCTCGCCTCAGCCTCCCGAGTAGCTGGGACTACAGGCGCCCATCACTCCACCCAGCTAATTTCTGTATTTTTAGTAGAGACGGGGTTTCACCATGTTGGGCAAGATGGTCTCAATCTCTTGACCTTGTGATCCACCCACCTCGCGGCCTCCCAAAGTGCTGGGATTATAGGCGTGAGTCACCGCGCCCGGCCTTTTTTTTTTTTTTTTTTTGGAGACAGTTTCACTCTTGTCGCCTAGCCTGGAGTGTAATGGTGGGATCTCCGCTCACTGCAACTTCCACCTCCTGGGTTCGAGCAATTCTCCTGCCTCAGCCTCCTGAGTGGTTGGGATTACAGGCGCGCGCCACCATAACCGGCTAATTTTTGCATTTTTAGTAGAGACGCGGTTTCACCATGTTGGCCAGGCTGGTTTCGAACTCCTGATCTCAGGTGATCCCACCCTCCTCAGCCTCCCAAAGTGCTGGGATTACAAGTGTGAGCCACTGCGCTGGCCAGGAGAATTGTTTTAACCAAATATGTATAGACCCATGGATTCATTCCATCCTATGCAGAGTCCTGGTCTTTCATATTTAATTAGCACAAATGCCATAAAACTGCCTTCCTACTATTTAGTAGTCCTCTCTGTGAACTATTCAGTAAGGTTTCTTGACTATTCATTCCCTTGCCTGACAATTAAATAAACTCAAAATTTTTATTTATTTATTCACTTGTATAAAGTTCCGATGGTCTTTATTACCTGAATTTGGATTGTAAGCTCTATTACTATTATTATTATCCTTAATCATAATAGACCCCATAATAAACATCACTCACTATGGGCCCAGCATTGTGTTTTGTGCTATGTAGGGCTTTACATAAAGACCAAATTTAATCCTGGTATTATCATTTCATAGATCGGGAAATTGAAGTTTAGAAGGATTAGTAACTTTGTGTCCACAGTCATAAAGTAAGAAAAGACAAGACAGGGTTCAGGATGCCAAAATATGTGTTCCTAAGTACTCTCAATACACCACGAATAACTCTGAGCTGTTTAAAGGCCTATGTTATATAAATAATGAGATCCTTGCTACTTTGACTAGGCCTTTGAAGAAAAGAAGCCAATAAGAATTAAGCCCCCTGACATAGATGCAATACCTCTTGGGAAAGCTAACCAACTCTGGCCTTTGAACTACATCTAGGGGCCAGGAGTGTTCCAGGCTTTGACTACTCTAGGCTTGCAAAGCTGCCATCCAGACATCCTGATGATCAGATTCCCAGACACCCAGCCCAACTGCTCCAACTCTCTCAGGACAGGAAGAGGGATGAGGACTACCTAAGCTACACCGCTCCAGAGGAGTCACTGAAACCAGGACCCCTATCCATCCAGAAGAAATGAAGCCCTGGAGCCACAGAGTGCTGCCCTAGAATCAGGAATCGAAGAATGTGGTGGTGGGAGCGGGTCACTAAAGCCAAATGGGGCAGGGCACCGTGGCTCACGCTTGTAATCCTAACACTTAAGGAGGCCGAGGCGGGTGGATCACTTGAAGTCAGGAGTTCAAGACCAGCCTGGCAAACATGGTGAAATCTCATCTCTATTCAAGATACAAAAATTAGCCGGACATAGTGGCAGGCGCCTGTAATCCCAGCTACTCGGGAGGTTGAGGCAGGAGAATCACTTGAACGCAGGAGGCGGAGGTCGCTGTGAGCCAGGATCGCACCATCGTACTCCAGCCTGGGTGACAGAACAAGACTCTGTCTCAGACAAATAAATAATAAAGCCAACTGGACCCCCATCCATCCAAAAGAAATTAAGCCCTGGAGCCACAGAGTTCTGTCCTAGAGAAGGAACAGAAGAATGGAATGGGAGTGGGTGACTAAAGCCAATTCTTCCTCTTATTTTTATTTTATTTTATTTTATTTTATTTTTTTGAGACAGAGTCTCTGTTGCCCAGGCTGCAGTGCAATGGTGTGATCCTGGCTCACTGCAACCTCCGCTTCCCAGGTTCAAGCAATTCTCTTGCCTCAGCCTCCCAAGTAGCTGGGACTACAGGGGTGTGCCACCGTGCCCAGCTAACTTTTGTATTTTTAATAGGGACGGGGTTTCACCATGTTGCCCAGGCTGGTCTCGAACTCCTGAGCTTCGAACTCAGCCTCCCAAAGAGCAAGGATTACAGGTGTGAGTCACTGCGCCTGGCCTTTTTATTTTTATTTATTTATTTATTTATTTTTGAGACGGAGTCTCGCTCTGTCACCCAGGCTGGAGTGCAGTGGCGCGATCTCGACTCACTACAACCTCCGCCTCCCGGGTTCAAGCAATTCTCCTGCCTCAGCCTCCTGAATAGCTGGGATTACAGGCACACGCCACCTGGCCCGGCTAATTTTTGTAGTTTTAGTAGAGACAGGGTTTCACCATGTTGGTCATGCTGGTCTCGAACTCCTGACCTCATGATCCGCCTGCCTCGGCCTCCCAATGTGCTGGGATTACAAGCGTGAGCCACTGCACCTGGCCTCTTCCTTCTTTTTTCTACATTTCTAATAAACAAGACCCTTCAACTTAAAAAAAAAGAAGTCCATAATGTTCAGAGTAAAAGCCAAGCTGCTCAGAGGGCCCACTGGGTTCCACCTCCTGCTTCTTTGACCCAGCCTATTCTCCAGCCTTCATTTGCTCCATCTGAGCCACACTATCCTCCCGTCCAGATGACTTACACTGGCTGGTTTCTATGTCTACAGCACCCTTCTCCCGTACATATCGCTGGTATATTCTAAGAATGCAGAACTAGACCCAGTGTTTAATAGTCAATACATACTTTTGAGTAAATGAGTGACAGGAGCCAAGTTAATTAAAAAAGGACTAGAGGGTTAGGCAGAAGATGTTCTCAATACTGTCAGAACAAAAGCCTCTTTTTTATAACATGTTTCGTAACATCTCACTTACTGTCCTGAAATAAAATTCATATTTAATTAAATGTACTCATATGCAGAATGTTTTGGTTTTTTTTCTCTCCAAGATGGAGTCTTGCTCTGTCGCCCAGGCTGAAGTGCAGTGGTGCAATCTTGGCTCACTGCAACCTCCGCCTCCCAGGTTCAAGTGATTCTCCTGCCTCAGCCTCCTGCATAGCTGGGATTACAGATGCATATCACCATGCCTGGCTGATTTTTTTTTTTTTCTATTTTTTTTTTTTTTTTTTTTTTTTGAGACGGAGTCTCGCCCTGTCGCCCAGGCTGGAGTGCAGTGGCCGGATCTCTGCTCACTGCAAGCTCCGCCTCCCGGGTTCACGCCATTCTCCTGCCTCAGCCTCCCGAGTAGCTGGGACTACAGGCGCCCGCCACCTCGCCCGGCTAGTTTTTTGTATTTTTTTTTTTTAGTAGAGACGGGGTTTCACCGGGTTAGCCAGGATGGTCTCGATCTCCTGACCTCGTGATCCGCCCGTCTCGGCCTCCCAAAGTGCTGGGATTACAGGCTTGAGCCACCGCGCCCGGCCTTTTTTTCTATTTTTAGTAGAGGTGGGGTTACACCATGTTGGCCAGACTGTTCTCAAACTCCTGACCTCGTGATCCGCCGGCCTCAGCCTCCCAAAGTGCTGGGATTACAGGCATGAGCCACCACGCCTGGCCGCAGAATGTTTTAATAATGTAATGCCCTATCCAAAACATTAAAAAGAAAGGAACTGGGCGTGGTGGCTCACGCCTGTAATCCCAACACTTTGGCAGGCTGAGGCAGGCAGATCATCTGAGGTCAGTAGTTTGAGACCGGCCTGACCAACATGGTGAAATCCTGTCTCCACTAAAAATACAAAAATTAGCCGGGCATGGCGGCACATGCCTGTAATCCCAGCTACTCAGGAGGCTGAGGCAGGACAATTGCATGAACTGGGGAGGCAGAGGTTGCCATGAGCCGAGATTACACCACTACACTCCAGCCTGGGGGACAAGAGCAAAGTTCAGTCTCAAAAAAAAAAAAAAAAAAAAAAAGAAAGAAAAAAGAAAAAAAGAAATTAATTTACAATAAAAATATTCATTTCAATATGTAATCTCATGACAGGGCTACATTATGAGACATACCAGAGCAATCAGGTGCTTACAGGACAAGACAAGTGCTTACACTGTGGACAAGACAGCTACAAATGCAGACACACATGGATGTGCCTTATTGATGACTATGTGTGTTCTAGTAGTGACAGACCTAAGCGTGCTATGCAAGCGGTTACTCAAACACCACAACCAGCACTGCCATGAGTGATGTGATTTTTTTTTCATATTGGTGAACACCTCTTGGTAAAGCTCAAAAACTATTTTCTCTTGATTTACAATCTACCATGCAAAAATTACTTTATGATACTATCTAACATAGATTTATATTCTAGATTCAGAACATTACAAACAGATCCGTGGGCTACAGGGGAAAAAAAAAAGGAGACAGAGAAGGAGTTGACATAAATTAAGAGAATTTTTTAGAAGATGGAATGTGTGGCTCTCATCTGAATCCCGATTCAAATTTGCAAAAAAACCTGAGATGATCTAGGTGTTGGATGATACTGAAGCATTCCTGGTAACTTTCTGAGTTCTGATCATGACACTGTGGTTATATAAGAAAATATTACGCCAGGCACAGTGGCTCATGCCTGTAATCCCAGCACTTTGGGAGGCTGAGGCAGGTGGATCATCTGAGGTCAGGAGTTCGAGACCAGCCTGGCTAACATGGTGAAACCCCGTTTCTACTAAAAATACAAAAAAATTAGCGGGGTGTGGTGGTGTGTGCCTGTAATCCCAGCTACTCGGGAGGCTGAGGCAGGAGAATTGCTTGAACCCGGAAGGTGGAGGTTGCAGTGAGCCAAGATCGAGCCACTGCATTCCAGCTTGGGCAACAAGAGTGAAACTCTATCTCAAAAAAAATAAATAAATAAAATAGAATATCCTTATTTATTGGAGTTGCACTGTGATATAACATGAGTGGTATGTCATGATATTTGAGATTTGCTTTAAATAATCCAGCAATAAGAGAAAAAGTGATGTAGAGAGAAAGGGAAAGATGGATCAAGAACAAAAACAGTTTAACACCTGAAATGGATCCAATGAGATCCAAAGTTTCAGGGTCAAGATTAATTTGAATCAGATTATTTTAAGACAATTTTAACATATTCTTCAGAATCAACAAAATGTATGGGCATAAAGATAGAGAGTAACAAGACCAGATGAAATGGGACCAGATCAGATTGGCCAATTGAAAGCTAACTTAAATGGATGAATCTGCACTGAAATAGAAATAAGCAAAACTAGGATTGAAATGAGGCCAATTCAAATGAGATTAAAGTAGTGCAAAATAGGTCTAAACAGATGCAAAGAGAATAAATCAGAACTATTTAATTCATAGCTATGCCAGATGAAGACAAACCTTGAGAAAGCTGCTGAGAGAAATGTGAGGAACTTTGAAAATCTGACTCTCATCAATAACTCAAGAATATCCAGAATGATTTTGTTATTTGCTAACCTAGTAATCAGTTTTAGTTTTCAAATAAGTGAATAAAAACATGATGTATGATATCCAGTAATCTATAAAACATCAAACTGACAGACTTATACCTTAAACCTCAAACATTTCCAACTTCTAGGTCATAGAAGGCATCTCTTACTATTCTCCTCGTTCTCTGTACTCCAAACACCTTGGCCTCTTTGCTTTTCCTCCAAAGGATAATCTATAAAACATCAAACTGACAGACTTACATCTTTTTTTTTTTTTTCACCTTGGCCTCTTTGCTTTTCCTCCAAAGGATAATCTATAAAACATCAAACTGACAGACTTACATCTTTTTTTTTTTTTTTGAGACAGAGTCTCGCTCTGCCGCCCAGGCTGGAGTGCAGTGGCCGGATCTCAGTCACTGCAAGCCTCGCCTGTCTCACGCCATTCTCCTGCCTCAGCCTCCCGAGTAGCTGGGACTACAGGCGCCCGCCACCACGCCCGGCTAGTTTTTTGTATTTTTAGTAGAGATGGGGCTTCACCGTGTTAGCCAGGATGGTCTCGATCTCCTGACCTCGTGATCCGCCCCGTCTCGGCCTCCCAAAGTGCTGGGATTACAGGCTTGAGCCACCGCGCCCGGCCAGACTCTGTGTCTAAACCTCAAACATTTCCAACTTCTAGGTCATAGAAGGCATCTCTTACTATTCTCCTCCTCGTTCTCTGTATTCCCAACACCTTGGCCTCTTTGCTTTTCCTCCAAAGGACTAGATATGCTCCTGCCTCCAGAGCCGTGGCACTGCTTTCCTCTTGTCTGGAGCAGTTTCCCACCTGACCCACATACCCAACCTCCTTACCTCCTTCAAGCCTTTGTTCAAATGTACTTCCTCAGAGAGGCCTACCCTGATCACGCAATTTAAAAGTTTAGCCAGTTGCCTCCACACCCAGGCACTTCAGATCTCCCTTAATCTGCTCTACTTATATTTATATATATCTTATACATTTTTTAACTATGTAGTACTTATTTTTCTTTGACATATATAATTTACCTATATATGCTGCTTATTGTACATTGTCAGTCTACCTATACTAGAATGTAAGCTCCATGAGAGAAGAAATGCTTTATTATTCTATTCACCGATATGTTCTAAGAGATTAAAACATTGGCTGGCACACTGAATATGGTCAGTAAATACTTAAATGGAAAAATGAAGGAAGAGAACATATCCTCACCCAACGAGACCAGATTCCTGAGATTTTCCAGCATCACTTCTTTGAATAGGTTCCTCTGCTCAAGGTTCAGTCTCTTCCACTCTGCCTCAGTGAAAAGCACAGCCACATCCTCGAAAGTCACTGGTCCCTAAATCAACCAATAAATTCATATTCATCAAGTCACAATTAAGATTCACAGGGAGAATGGAACTGGTGGTCTTGGGAGAATCTAGCTACATAAGAAATGGATCTAGGCCAGGCATGGTGGCTCACACCTACAATCCCAGCACTTTGGGAGGCCAAGGTGGGAGGTTACCTTGAGGTCAGGAGTTCAAGACCAGCCTGGCTAATATGTTAAAACACTGTCTCCAGTAAAAATACAAAAATTAGCTGGGTGTGGTGGCACACGCCTATAGTCCCAGTTACTCGGGAGGCTGAGGCAGGAGAATCGCTTGAACCCTAGAGGCAGAGGTTGCAGTAAACCAAGATCACTCCACTGCACTCCAGTGTGGGTGACAGAGGGAGACTCTGCCTCAAAAAAAAAAAAAAAAAGAGAGAGAAAGAAATGGATTTGCTACCTGGGAGGCTGAGGTGGGAGGATTGCTTGAGCCTAGGAGTTCAAGACTAGCTTGGGCAACACAGTGAGACCCTGTCTCTATGAAAAATAAACAAAAATTAGCCAGGTGTGGGGGTGTACACCTGTAGTTCCAGCTATTCAGGAGGCTGAGGTAGGAGGATTGCCTGATCCTAGCAGGTCGGGGCTACAGTGAGCTGAGATTGCACCATTGCACTCTGGCCTGGGTGACCAGAGCAAGACCGTCTCAAAAAAACATACACCATATGCTTTTTCATCTTGAAGTCTCTTCTCTTCAAAATGAGTATTCAGTGGTGTTTTCTCTTTAGTTATACTTGAAAGGTGGCATTGCCCTCAGATACCAAGGGAGCCACCAATCAACTTACTTCTACTGAATTCAAGCATTATTTGCTCAGTGACCAACTGCTTCAGCCTGTGGGTATTTCAGGACACTCCTAACTTGCCCTAGATTTTTTTTTTTTTTTTTTTTTTTTTTTTTGAGACAGGTCTAACTCTGTCGTCCAGGCTGGAGTGCAGTGGCGTGATCTTGGCTCACTGCAGCCCCTGCCTCCCGGGTTCAAGTGATTCTCCTGCCTCAGCCTCCCAAGTAGCTAGGACTACAGGTGCATATCACCACGCCTGGCTAATATTTTGGGGGTTTTTTTTGGTTTTTGGTTTTTTTAGTAGAGATGGGGTTTCACCATGTTGGCCAGGCTAGTCTCCAATTCCTGACCTCAAGTGATCTGCCTGCCTTGGACTTGCTTTAGATTTTTAACTTCACTCTGCAGACTTCGGGGAACATTTGCACATTATTCCCAGCTGCTTCTGATCATCCTGAGTACCTCTTCTCTGACTCAGCTGCTTCCTCCTATGCTCAGGTATTCATCAGTCTTCTTGTCCACCTTCCAGTGGTCCTTGGCACTTTAGGAGTTGGGAATATATATTCCAGGTTCTAAAGCTAAACTAACTAAGCTTCTATGAAATCAAAGATGACAGTAGGGGCTGGGGAAAGCACACTGCAAGGCTACCAAGCCAGAGCTTCTTAGCATCCTCCCCTGAGAGCTGGACTATAAAAGAGATTTAATAACACCCAGCACAGAAGAGCAGAAGCAGTAGAGAATAATAATGACGCTGAGCTAAGAGTAGGAAACTAGGTGTAGATAGTGAAATCCTTGAGTGTGTGAGAAGTTTTGGGAGGGATGTCACATCTATAGCCAGCAGCCCAGGCAGTCAGGCTGCATGGCATAGTGTAGGAGGGAGGACAGAAAGTCTAGACAGCAGGCCAGGACCCAGGATTAGGCAGCCAAGGCCTGAGCGGGCAGTGGTGTGGGCTGCTGTCCCCTACATGCTTTCCATGACCTGCTGCTTCAGGCATATCCTGGTTCTCATATTCTCAGTGATCTTTCCACTTGTCTTTTTATATCCCGGGTCTCATAATTTCTCTTGTTCAAGCCTTGTGTCTCTCATGTTCCAACATCCTCTCCATTTCTCTCTTGACTCCTCTTCCCCCTCTAGTTCTTCCACTGAAGCATAAAACAGGCTCAGCTACAAAGGAAGCTAGGCTTTTTGCACACTGGATGTAGCAGGAGCCCAATCTATGGAGCCCGACCACACAAGTCCAAATCCCAACTTTGCCACTTATACAATACATGACCTTTGGAAACTTACATAACCTCTCTGTGTCTTAGTTTCCACATCTATAAAATGGGCTTGATAATGACACCTACTATCTTAATAAAGATAAAGCACTGACATCAATGCCTGACATGCAGTAAACACTTGCTATTACTATTTGCTATAATTAAGCAATGGAATGTTTTATATTTAAATGAAAACTGGTTTTTAAAATAAGTAAATAATTTTTGGTTCTCAAAAAGTAATCAAACATTCTGTCCAGTACAAAGCAAGAAGAGGAAGTAAAAAGCATAGAGACTGGTAAGGAAGAAATAAAATTACCCCTATTTGCCAAGGACATGGTTTTCTATGCAGGAAATGCAAAGGAATCTATAAAAATGATCATATAACTAGTAAGTGAGTCCAGGAGGATTGAAAGATACAAGATGAACACATAAACATCCATCGTGTTCCTATAGATTAGCAACAACCATGTGAAACTGAAATTAAAAACATAATACCATTTACAATCACTCCCCCCAAAAAGAGGTGCCTAACATAAACCCAACAAAACAAGTATAACATCTGTACACTGAAAACTACAAAATGCCAATGGAAAAAAAAAATCAAAGAAGATCTAGCTAAATGGGGAGACAAAGCATGTTTATGAGTTGGAAGGCTCAACATAGTAAAGACGTCAATCTTCCCCAAAATGATCTATAGATTTAACACAATTCCTATCAAAATCCCAAACAGATTTTTTTTGTAGATTTATAGACAACTTATCCTATAATATATATAAGGCAAAGAAACTAGAAGAACAAAGTAAGAGGGATCACTCTACTTCATATTAAACTTACTACTATTTGGTCACTGCAATACTTGAGACAGGGTATTGATGGAAGAATAGACACACAGATCAATAGAAGAGAACCGAGAACCAAGAACCCAAAAAGAGAGCAACACAAATACCCCAAATTGGATTTTTGCTAAAAGTAATTCAATGAAGAATAGATTTTGCAACAAACGGCGCTGGACCAACTGGACATTCACAGACAAAAAAATTAACCTGAACCTAAAACCTCACACCGTATACAAAAAAAAAAAAAAAAAATCAAAATGAATCACTAATTTAAATATAAAAATATAAAAATGTTAGAAAAAATACAGGAGAAGATCTGTATTGGGACCTAGTGCTTGGTAAAGAGTTCTTAGACATGACACCAAAACCACAATCCATAAAAGAAAAAAACAATAAAACAGACTTCACCGAAATTAAAACTTTTTTCGGTGGCTCATGTCTGTAATCCTAGCACTTCACTTTGGGAAGCTGAGGCAGGCAGATCTCCTGAGGTTAGGAGTTTGAGACCAGCCTGGCCAACATGGTGAAACCCCATCTCTACTGGAACACAGAAGCAGACGGAACATTTCCTAACCCATCCTATGAATCCAGCATTACCCTAATAGCAAATCTAGATAAAGACATTAGAAATTAAAACTATAGATCAATATATCTCACAGAGACACAATGCCCCCCTCCCAAAATATAAGAAAATCAAATCCAGAAAAGTATAAGAAGAATTACACACCACACTTGGGTTTATTATAGTTCTGCAAAGCTGGTTCAACATTTGAAAATCAATCATTGTAGAGGTCAGGGTTGGTTTTTCAAGACGGCTGCCTTCGAGGCTCTGAGGTCTGGCTGTGGGCAGCTTCCCCATGGGCTCCTAGCAGGCCCAGCAGCGACCAGCTGGTCTCAGCTTCCAGCTCGCCGGTTCAGGGCAGTGGTGGAGATCCAAGAAGGAAAGACAACTATAATTGAAGGCCGTATCATAGCGACTCCCAAGGAGAGTCCAAATCCTCCAAACCCCTCTGGTCAGTGCCCCATTTACCATTGGAACCTGAACCACAAGTAAAACTATGACAATGTTTTGCTGCTTAGCCAGTTCATCCAGCCTCATGGAGGCACGCTGCCCTAAAAGATCACAGGCCTATGCCGGGAAGAGCACTGCAAAATGGAGGAGTGTGGGAAGATGGCCTACCAAGCAGGTCTGTTACCAAATCATAGGCCTCAGCTTCCTGAAGGAGTTGTTCCAAAGAGCAAACCCCAACTCAACCAGTATCTGATGCGCTGGGCTCCCCACTCCCTCATGCCCATCTACATAAAAGGCCTCCCCTGGAACAGGGTGCTCATGGCCTTGGGGTCACCCCTCCTGAGGGACAATGTCTGCTACTCAAGAACACCTTGGAAGCTGTGTCACTGACAGACAGCAGAGCTTCTAGAGTTCCTCCTGCACTATGGAGTAGGAGGCCCACTCACAAGCCCTCGGTCACAACTATAGTCCTGCCCCAGCCGCCCCACGACGGCCTGGCCCCTCTGACATGTATGGACAGGTGACAGTGGGACGAACTTCAGTACCCTTGGCCTCCCCAGTAGCAATGCTGGGAGCTAGAGGCAGGCAGGGCAGTTGGGTCCCTCGGCAGCTGCTGTGGGGCTTGGGCCATACTCAGTGCTGGGAACAGAAGATTTTGCCCAATGGAATGTCATAAACTAGGCTCGTGGGCTTAAAGAAAAGAAAAGAAAAGAAAATCAATCATTGTAATCCACCATGTTAATAGGCTAAAGAAACAAAATCAGATGATCATATCATTTGATGCAGAAAACACACTTGACAAAACCCAACATCTAGTGACTATAAAAATTCTCAGTTGCCAGGCGTGGCGGCTCATGCCTGTAATCTCAACAGTTTGGGAGTTTAAAGCAGGATTGCTTGAGCTCAGGAGTTTGAGATCAGCCTGGGCAACATGGCAAGACCCCATTTCTGGCCAGCCATGGTGACTCACGCCTGTAATCCCAGCACTTTGGGGGGCTAAGGCAGGCAGATCACCTGAGGTTACAAGTTCGAGACCAGCCTGGCCAACATGGCAAAACCCTGTCTCTACTAAAAATAAATAAACTA